AATGAGGTTGGACATATCGGTCACCTTGAGCAATTAGCTTCCCCCTCCTAGGCCTAGATCTATCATCTGTGTCTTGCTGAGGCAAGGTTCACTCCCTGTCCGGCACGGATCTGAAAGTTAAGCGCTCCGGTAAGCTATGTTGAAGCGGTATATTTCATTATAAGATTACTATAGTAACATGATTGACGCTGAAAGCTCTGATCCATGCTCATGTTCTTGCTAGGAGGCACGCCTATACTTGGCTCACGTTTTCCGCCATGTCGGTCCTACAGGTATTGTATTGAAGCTCAATACTGAGTGAGCATGACCTACTTCAGTTACTTGTGGTACAAAGCAAGGATCTTCTGCCAGAAGGTTCTGGCCTCCGGTTGAGCAGTCGCTGTCTCTGCAGCTCTCTGTTGATCCGGTACAACGACAACCTCGCCATCCAGACCCTTGTTATTTGCGGCGTTCTGCTGCTTACCCAGGTAGTAGTTCGGCATAAAGAAAGAGGCAACAAGAGGAATGCAGGACAAGCAGATGGCGGCGATTGTGATGTGACCATTGACGATAGCGTAGGCTCGAATGGAGCCTTGGCGGATGGGGTCGTCGAACTGGTACTTCTTCAGCGTCTTAATGTTACCGTATATCTTGGCAATGACAGTGTTGGAAACGCCGGGTAGTTCCACACGCATCTGGTCAACCATCTGCTCCGTCCAGATACTCGTCGCGACAGCGCTTCCGACGCTAGATCCCAAGGTGGACCACAGGGTGATGATGGAAATGATCGAGGCAACGTCGTCGTGGGGAACAGACGCCTGGACACCAACGCGTGCACCAACCACATTGAGGGAAGAGAGACAGAAAATGAGCTGTGCTGCTACGAGGCGGGCAGTATCTTGAGTCATGTTTCCAGTCGGTTGAACTAGGAGGCCATAGCCCAAAATCTTGGCCGCGGCACCGAAGACCATGAGGCTCTTGTAGCGATGAGTGCTACGGTGAATGAGACCCACAACGGGACCGACCAGGCAGAGACCCATGGTAGTGATACCCAAGAAGATAGTCCACTGGTAGGTAGTCCATTCCTTGATGATGAGGATGTATGATGAGAAGTAGGTGTTGCGGACAGATGATGCCATTTGGTTGAAAGTGTGGATGATGACACCCGCAATGAAGGCGCGGTTCTGCACAATGCTCTTCGTCATGAGGGGCTTGGGAGCAAGGAAGACTTCGAACAGGATGAAGATGATGAGAATGACAAAACCCATAACGATCATAGCGACCATGCTTGCGTTTGTCCATCCGCCATCGGCGCTCTTAGCCAGAGTGATAGGCAAGAGAATCAGAGAGAAGGCAAAGCCAAGAAGAATGAGGCCGACAAGGTCGATATCGACCATACCTCGGTACGCGAGTTTTGCCCAGTACACCAAGTTTTGGGACGGGGCCTCGGAAACACCGGTGCGGACGTTTTTGGAGTCGGCGATAGTCACCATGCCGGCCTTCTCTCCACGGCGCTGCATGGCGTAGAGGGTAAGGATAGCCGGAATGAGGAGAACAGGGACCAGTATGGCGAACATGCCCAGACCCCATCGCCAATTCTCGTAAAAGCCCTCGGCGATGAAACCGTTGACGGGCACCGTTACGATAAAAGGCAGAGACAGGCAAGCGCCGAAGAAGCCGCGCCATTCCAAAGGAGTCAAGTCGGCGACGATGATGTCGCTGAGAAGGTCCAGGCCTGACTTTCCTACCGAAGTAAAGCAGATGCCGACAGTGTAGGCCGGGAAGGCGGTGGCACTGGCTGCAACGGCAAAGCCCACGGCGTAGAAGGCAAGAATCACGACGTAAGTGGTAGGTCGCGAGGTGATGTCGGCTAGTTTTCCGATAAAGGGTTTGCTGATGGCTCGAATAATTTGACTGGCAGTGTTGACCGTACCAAGCTGGCTGTGGACCTTGAAAGTCGAAGCCGCCAACGTGCCAAAGATAGTTGTGGTGATGCCCATGTCGAGGGCGTAGGCAAACATGGTCAGGCCAATGGAGACACCGAGGAGCCAGAGTAAGATCTTGCCCTTCTGCCCAGAATGGTAGAGGACTTTATTGAAGGCCTCGACCCTGCTGACGCCGACCTCCTTGGGGCCCTCATTGTCGGCGGATCGATCAGGCTTCTCATCCGGCTCGAAGAAATCATGGGGCGCATCGTTCTCAGTGGGAGCCTTGTGGGTCTCGGAAGCCACTGGCTGATTATCAGCAGCAGGTGTCGACATAGCTGGCAACTTGTCGAGGTGTCAGAGGTGTTGAGGGAAAGTCGATGTTTTACAAGAACAGAGAAAGCGACATGAAAAAGGGCAGAAGCGGTTTGTTAAAGACTCTGGAAGAGATAGGCACCGCAAAAAGTCTACAGTCTTGGCAGCGGTCCAGTGCCACTTGGAAATCCTTCCGGTGGGATCTAGTAAAGTGCTAGCTAATGATCACCCCACACTACGAACAGAGGCAACAAGAACGGGCCAACGACAAGGTTCCGATGAGCGATATGAACTTGACTCCTCAAGTACAAGTATCTTTCGGGACGTTCCGACATCGGTTCGCCCAGTGTCCCGGATTTGTGGGCGAGATAGCTGAGCTTAAGGTTGGGTGGTTGGCTCTTTCTGGTTTATCAGATCCTTTCTTTATCCACTGTGGAGGGGGCCTACCATCTAATCAGATGGTCCATAGCTCTGTTGGGGAGGGATCACCACCTTGGCGGGACTAGACTCCTACTAGAGCAAGGATGGATTCCTTCTCGGGCAAAGTATACAGTGCCATCGGACTGTATGTCAAGATGTGCCACCCCGGAAGCTGCACTTTTCACGGCTTGCCATTTCTCTGGCTCCGATTCTAGACCAATATCTCGAGAATGAGGAACCATCTCCGAGTTGCGTGAGCGATACGGGTGTTCCAAGGGAAAGAGCAAATATTTTCTAGAGACATCAGCCCACGCATTATGTAGCAACCTGGATAGTGCTTACTTTTAGCCTGAATTAAGCTTACTCGAGTGGCTATTGCTACTCGTTCGAGTCGAGAAATGGGTACAGGACCCCAGTTCCCAGCAATAATCCCGCAAAATCGGCTTCGGACTTTGTCCGCGTGGGCTTGGCCGCTGGCCAATTCCCAATTTGCTGATTCATATGGCCGTGCCCTGCAAACCAAATACTAAAAGATCTCTTCTTTCGATTTTCTATCTGCTATAGGGGTCTGCGTTACAGTGGGAAAGCTGCTGAAGCGCGATGCTGGAAGATCAGTAGACGGAGTTTTCCAATCGAGCCTCTCAGCACGGTTTTCGGACCATATCGCCTTCACAAGTGACTCTTTCAACAACTAATCTCGTTCCAGAGTCTTTGACTTGATGTTGCTATAAGTAATAAGGCACCATTTGAAGGGCGGTGGTGTAAACCAAGCAGGCAGAATGAATATTGCGTGAAGGAAGGATATATATGGAATTGAAGCGGGTTATGTCTAATTGTGTTGGAAACACCAGTATCATCAAAGACTTCTAACCGCCTTGAGTCTGTTTTGTCTAGCAAGTTGCGTGAGCCCTATCGTAGGGGCAAAGAGATCGAAGATGTGAGGGAGTCCAGGGTAAACATGTAGCTCCATCTGCACATTCGCGGATGCGAGCTTACTTGCAAAGGCTACTGCCTCAGCGCAAAACAAATCAACTCCCCCAACGTCGATGTATGTGTAAGGAAGATTCACAACGTCAGTCGCTCGCCCTGGTGCCGCATACGGCGGTACATTCGATCCTCCGGCCTTGTCTTCGAGGTACGCGTTCCAGCCAATCTGATTCGACTTATCCGTCCAGGTGAGGAATTTTGAAAGAGGATTGTCTGCTTCAACCCTAGTTCTGTCGTCTAGCATTGGATATATGAGAATCTGCTTGGCCAATGGCGGCGACAAGCCTCGATCCCTCGCCAGCATCGATGCGCCTACCGCTATGCCACCGCCGGCGCTCAACGCGTAAAAGCCTATGCGAGACGCATCGATATTGAATTCGCCTGCATGTTCGTTCAGCCACTTTAACGCGGCGTAGCAATCCTCGGCAGGCGTCGGATATGGAAACTCGGGCGCTAGACGGTATTCGACAGCGAACATATGGACCCCGGATTCCAGAGCGGCCTTCGCAGCGAGGGGCCGGCTGTATGGGTCGACATTCCCCGCAACAATCCCTCCTCCATGTACGTATATGAAAGCTGGCTGCTTGCTTGTAGTTTCGTTTGAATCTGGCGTGAATTGATGCAGCGCAATCGATACGCCGTCGAATGACTTGACCTCGTGCTTGGTCTCTGTTATACCCTCGGGCAGCGCATCTTTGAGGATAGCCGAGAGACCCGCGTTGACGCTGGCTCGGAGCTCCAGCGCATTGGTAGGTCCCTTTGGCGGTCGGATGGCAATCAGTGGACCGGCAACCGCCCAGAACTCTGTGTCAAATTTCAGACCTGGCATTCTTTGAGTCTGTTTTGCGTAGTAGAGAATGGACAGAACCCCGACAACCATCCCCAGGAGCGAGAGACCTGGGCCCATGGTGACTTTTTATGCAAAGAGCTGGTTACAAGCTCCCAATCTGCCAAGAAGATAGGATTTTCGCCCTGTTCTACCTTCCCTGCTGGGGGTAAGCGGAAGGCATTATATCCCCATAAATCATGGGTTCAAGCTGGGCAGCTTTAACGTTGGCGCTACTCGGCACCATGAACCTGTTAGTCTGGAAACTTCAGATGACTGTAAGCTCCGCGTTTCAAAGCGCTGAATAGTGGAAGCTTCCAATTCGTCCGAGCGGCATGAATCGGCTCCAGGCCAGCAATCCGTCGGGGCTCGGGTGAAATTCTCTGAGCGCATGACCGATGGGCATTGCCACGTAGGCAATGCTGGTATGGCTTCTTTCGTTTCTTCCTAGGAGACGTTCTGCCTTCTGAATTGACTTTCGGCTTGCATTGCATGGCACATGACGTTGCCCACGTGTCGACGTTTGTTTAGTTGTCAAATCTCGGACTTTCACCAACTCTCCTCGCCCGTCTAGTGCTGTCATGGCTGACTTGATGACTGATGGTTGCGATGATACGCTAACAGAGATATTGCTATTCTGGAGTTGAGACTAAATACTGCCTAGAAGTTTCGTCTGACAATCGGAAACCCTTCTTGCAAATTGCCGAAAGAAGACTTTCATGCAGACTAAACAAGCAAGAACAGCGTAAACCGAACCCGAGGTTAACTGTGCTTCAAAAGTCGAGCCAGCTACAAGGCTCAGTCAAATACATCAGTCGCATAACGCTCGTTGCGGATATTGCTGAACCACTCTTCCAGCTCCTCATCATTCATCGGCTTTCCATCGTCCAACTCACTCTTCTCTCTAGCCGCTTTAAGCAGAACATCCTTCACTCCTTCGGCCACTCTGTTCGAACCACAGACATAAACTCTGGCACCTTGGTCCCACAGCCCGTACAACATCTCACGCTCCTGCCAGATGCGATCTTGCACGTACTTGGATCCGTTAGAAGCTTCAGGCTTGCGACTGTATGCCCTGAACATCCTCACGGCACCGACGGCTTCCCACTTGTCGAAATCTTCGCGGTACAGGTCGTCACCCTCCGGGTCACGGCACCCAAAGAAGAAGATAGCCGGTGCGAGAGAGCGACCATTGTTGAGAAGGGTAGCACGTTCTTGAACGAAGGCACGGAATGGTGCCAAGCCAGTGCCGGCCGCTACACACAAAAGAGGCGTCTTATCCATGTCGATTGGAAGCTTAAAGCCTCCCTGTGAAGCACGTATGGCAACTTGTAGACGGTCACCGGCAGTCAGGGTAGAAAGGTAAGAGGAAGTGACACCGACATGCCGGCCTTGGCCCGATAAGGCGGGCTCGTCTAGAACGCCGTAGGTGATAGTGGCGACACTGGGATCTACAAGAGGTGACGAAGAAATTGAACTATTCACTATCGTCAAAATGATGACCAGAGATGAGGGTTTCTAGCCTTGGCTTACTATTGACGAACTCTCATAGGAGGAAGCATGAGAAGGAGGTGGTTGAAAGGGATGATCAAGGATGGGAACTGCTCAGCGATATCGAGAACCGAGAGCCTCTTTGTCTTGATCTCGGTGTCATAGCCATCGGTGGCTAAGTACTGAAGCTTGCGACTGATTTCTTCGTCCTTCGCAAGCTGCGAGAGAGTCAAGATATTCTGTGCTCTAGTTGTCAGCATTTGCTTCGAGGACTCATCAAGGGCTGATCTCGGAGCTCACCCTTTTTGAAGCAGTTTGGCATAGCTCAACGTAAGAGCTGAGAACGTCAGAAACCGGGCTGCTAATGTTAGTTGGCAATGTCGTGGGCCCCGAAGCCTGGATGGTGACATGCGAGTCCCAGGTAAGATGGAAGCGACGCATCACCCTGGCGACTGTCTCCTTGGGGTTGTGAGGCAACACGGCGATATAATCACCAGCCGAGTATCGCATGATTGTGGGGAGCTGCACCTCAATGTGTCTCTTGACAGGGCCCAGGTGTCCGCGGGTAAGAGTGCGAGAATCTAGTACGAGAGCGTCTCTGACGTCTTGGCGGAGAGTTGAAGTCCTCGGAGTAGAGAATGACACTGACAAACCCGCCTCAGCGATGCTGCTATCGTCTCCTTCGGAATGCCCACCGAACTCCTTAACGAGCGCAGGCCACAAAGACTCATCCTCCCAGGCCTCAAAGTCAGAAAACATGTCTCGGTCTTTGGCATCCGTCGTGGCAAGCGGGATGATTCGACGGGCTCCGCGTTCCTCGAGCGTATAATCTACGAGCTTGGGAACCCGATGGTATGTTTTGACCCAATCGGCATGGCCTAGATAAAGAACACTTAATCAGTAGAGGCCATCTCGAAGAGTCGGTTAAATCTTACCGCAGCCGTACACAGCATAAGACACGTTCTCAAGTTCCTTGGCCTTGAGGTTGGCCATCCAGTCAACAAAGAGCGCAGCGTTGTGAGGTGGTTCGCCCTCGTAAGAAGAGATGACGACGACGACGGGACGATCTGTCGGAAGAGATTCTCGTGCGGTATCCAATGAGTCAACGGTCGCGCTGAAGCCATGCGACGCCGCATCGCTAGCAAGTCTCTGGGCCATAAATTCGCAGGTGCCAGAGTTCGAACCGTAGAAAATTGCCACACTCGCCTTCCTAGCAGAGCCGACTGTAGCCCCTGCTCCGCTGGTACATGTAGCTTCGGGGGCTTTGGCCTTTGTCTGGGTGGGCACTCCTCCAGTCAGAGATCCGGCCATCCGAGCTTCCAGCATCGACGGTGTTAATCCCTCTCTCAGAATGGCTCGAATATAGAAGTCTTTAGGTTTGATCGTGAGCGTTTGGGAGACTTTTAGATCGTAGTTGGGGTCGTGCATGACAAAGTTGAAGTTCTGCATCAACAAAGCAAGGGCCAGTACCATCTCCTGCCAGGCGAATGCCCTACCAATACACCCACGCATACCTGTGCCAAAGGGGCTCCAGCAGTTAGGGAACTCCTTCATCAGCCGGTCGAAGTTTTCGTCGAGCATTCTTTCGGGTCGAAACTCCTCTGCGTCATCTCCGAATACCTTAGGGTCAAGATGTGACTTGGTCAAGAAACACAGGATCTGCTCCCCGGGTTTGACGCGGTACTTGCCACCGATGATCTCGTCTTTCATGGCCTCTCTACCGAAACCAAAGATGGGAGCACTGTGTCGCAGAACTTCTCTGATGACCTGTTGACTGATCTTAGTAAAAGAGAGTGAGGGCGCCATCACACATCGAGATCAGGGTGTTCAGTGTAATTCTGCGTGGGTCCTGTAATGTAGGGGCTCTCGATGTGAGAAGGTGGAGAGAAACTTACTGCACTCAAGTACTTCAGCTTGGCAACATGTTCGACCTTGAGAGGCCCATCACCAGCCGTGCTGTCAACTTCTTCTTGTACTTTCCGGTACACTTCAGGTCTCTTCAGCAACCAGTACATGGTGAAGGTGAATGTAGCAGCAGTAGTCTCGTGGCCGGCGACAAGGAAGGTGATCAAGTTGTCGATGATACTCTCGTCCGTCATCTTACGGCCAGTAACAGGATCAACGGTGTTGAGCATTGCTGTCAATAGATCCTTTCGACCATTGTCGTCATCTGGGTTCTTCTTCCTAGCCTCGAGAACCTCTCTTGCGACGGACCGAAGATAGGTGATATTTGCCTTGTACTTGCGATCTTGTTTCTTGTAGAAGACTTGAGGTAGGACGCGCAATGCCTTGTCACCGGCCTCTTTCATGACGGCGTACATTGCTGTGATAAAGGGGTGCGTGTCTTCGCGGTAGTAAGAATTGAATCTATATCCCATAGAGCAAAGGGCAACTGTGTCCATGGTGAGTCTCGTCATGTCATCGCCGATGTGAATAGGAGTAGATGATCCGTGGCGTGCCCACTTGAGAGCTAGTTGGGCGGCTAGGTCGTGCATATCGTCGAACATTCCTCTGATGGCAAGAGGACCGAAAGCAGACATTAAGACTCTGTGGGCGATACCCCAGTTTTCCTCCTCAACGCCTTTCGACTAACATAGGGTTAATCCGATAGAGCCAAAAGCCTGTGAGGACTACAAATATCATCAGACTTACTGTGAAAAGGCCATCGTGTACTGCCTCACGAAGCTCCTATGATGTGATGTCAGTCACATCTCAAGCACTCATATGAAGTGACTTACAGCGAGATCCCCTTCTATCGACTTCTTGAACCTCTTGTCGTCGCAGCACTCATTGACTAACTCGTGGGTGTTGACAAATACTAGCTTCTGGCCCAGGAGATCAAGTTTGTAGATAGGGCCTGGAGAACAGTCAGCTTTGTTTACGCCCCCTCACACGTCTTCCTAAAGCCACATATCCACTTCTGGAGTGATGCTACACACCATATTTGTTTGCCATGTGTACAAAGGACCCTAGGGGATAGTCCTGGTCGATCTCAGTCACGTGCCCCAACACGGGCTTCCGAGGCGGCTCCGGAATCTCGACGATGGCGTTCGGCATATCGACGGCTTTTCTAGAAGATCTTCGAGAAAGGCTGAAGACTCGCTTTCTCTTTTCGGATGTCGGAAGGGTGTCTGACGACTGGGTATTCGAGATGGACGACATAATGGGCTTGGTGATTCGATGGTCTCATGTAGCCTATATAGCGATGTCTCCCAAAGCACAGATACTGTAATTCTGATGATATATAGGCAGTGCGAGGCGATTGCCAAGCACAATGGGACAATCTCGAGCGCCGCCGGAGTCGGTCAGACTGGTGATCCTTCCCTTCGGTGTCCTCGGGGCAAGGCTGATTGTGGCTGAGGGAGCGAATCCACAGAACACCACGTTGGAGAGACTTTCGAATTGGACAAGAACACCACGTTTACCACGACAAGTGCCTAAGATTCGCCATGTCTTCGTCCGCGGAGGGCGCAAGTGGGACTCTGAGTACTTTCGCGCCGTGCACTGGCCCCGGCCGGTCCTCCGCGGGTGTCCGGTATCCACTTTTTCGACCGCGCTACCCCCTTTGCCTCACCTGCCAGACTTTTCATGTGGTACGATGGGAGTGGAAAATTCTTGCATCAGAAGCATGATCATTCCCTGGAAATCAGATTTGTTCATTTGGGGGAGGGGGCTTCGTCGATGTGCACTCAAATCGGATTACATCCCAGCACACATCAGGGAGCGGATGAAGACTCGAAGATCTTCGGCATCGGGCTGCAAGCCTCGTGACATCAAAAGAAGCAGCTGGGGCAAAGTGTCAGTTTCGACTACCAGCATACTTGATTTTGGTAAAGCCCATTCTCCTCCTGGAAACACAATTGAGATCGTGCCCCAAAAAGCACGGAAATCGGCGAATGACTGCTCTTGCCCTGAATTGTCGACTGTAGTGCTTCCCGAGAGTACGAGGTTATCGGGTTTCATCTAGTCGTTCGGGGTTTTTGGATATCTGGTAAATTATTCATTTGAACGCGATGATGACTAAGAATGAACCTTGAGAAAGATTCGTACTTGAGCAACAAATTTCTCAAAAAATGACTAGTCGACAGTTAGCTCCAGAGCGACGAAGTCTCTGAGCAAAGGACCAATTCATCATCGTGACTGGCTATTTGGGTAACTTAATTACAGGTTGTCTTGCAAGAAAACCATGCTTAAATTGCCGTAGAAAGGTGTTTTAATGTAGGACAACCCCCCAGACCTCGTTGATGAAAAAGGTATTTCATTAGTTGTTAGATCGAAAATTAGTTGTTCGATGCTGTTCACGTTGAAGAGAGTTGCTTGACATTATCCAGAAAGAAAATAAAGAATACCTTACTTCAAATCTCAACCCATCAATATGGTTATGGCAACTTAAAGTTGAATAGACAATGTACTCTAGTGACAAGAGCACACGTCAATTATTTCCTTGCCAGACATTCATATGCCAAAAATGTTGGGCACGGGAGGCAAGCTGAGCAGGAAGAAAGGTTTTCTATCAGTGTGTCATGTATGACGATCAAGGTAGCCAGCCCTCTACGGATTAAAGTGCGAGAACTGGGCCCCAGTTTACCCTTCCAAGTGAAGAGCTACATACCTCTACAGTTTATCATGAACCCACATCGAGGCGACCAAATGGTCCGCAAACCCAGAACCCATTATTGCCATTATAAAAGTTTTTTTTTTTCTTCAAATATAGAGCCCATCGAGAACATAGTTCTAGATGTGTTACTCGTTGAAATTTATCGACATCTCTCTATTCTAAACTGAATCTTCCTTCTCATCATGCAAATAACGTCTTCGCTCGCGTACTTGCTACTTGCAGCTACAGCATCATGCCAGCAAGACCGCAGCGACCGAGAGACCGATTCTCCGGGCATGACAGCGACACAGCCTTCGTTGATTACGCCACTCACTTCAGCTTCTTCGTCCCACGTTGATCAGAATTTCAAAGACATCAACAACGCCTCTTCACCAATTATCCCAACCCCAGTCCCGACAACTTTGATCACATCCACCGAGCCCGCCGCATCGATGGCACTGTTTGCCCCGACGAGCGTCACCCCGCCGAGCGTTCAGCGCCCACCCAATGGTCTCCCCTGGCTCGCCAACAAAGACGATAAGGACGAAAACACAGTCTGGTGCATCTCCAGGAGCCATTACGACGTCTCCTACAAGCCCTATAACCCTTGGGCCCTCGTCGGACAAATGGAACCACGCTACCGGCACAAATTTGTTTTCCCCAGACTTATGAAGGAGGCACCCGCGAACGGGGAATACGAGGTCATCCCCCGAACCTACCGCATCACCGGCGACAAGTGGCTGCCCCTCTTCAAAGACGTTAGAGAAAACACCTGCATGCTCATCAAGGCGAGGAACTTTGGCGAGATACGGCCGGATATCTACACTCGTGCACACTCCATGTTGGCCAAGATTGACGATTTCACAATGTTGAAAATGATTAAATTCAAGTACACCTACAAGATCGAGCCCCTGTACAACATATACGGCGAGCCTCAACCCAACACTTGGGTGAATCAGCAGGATGACAGGCCTCTGAAACCGGTGAAGCAGAAGCCCATACCGTGACCGACGGCGGCACTATTGACTTCATCAGCATTGTGATTGGGTCGATTTCAAAATGAGCTTCAAGCACTAGTACAGGGCGCACATCATAGATAAATGGTCCAACGAGTGTCGTGGAAAACTTCTCAATGTTAGTAAAAACCATAGCAAGCTTAGTTCAATATCCCTAATAAAGAAGGTAAAACTGTTCAAAGCCTAGGAAGTTCAATCAAACTGGATTTTGAGGGGAAAAGAGCTTACCAGATGTCGTTCTTGGAGCCAAACGCCCATCGTATCGCGTTCGACTTCTGCACAACGTACATAAAAACAGACTTTGCGCCATGGGGCCTCATTGTGCTTTCTTCTATCCAATCTACACATAATTTCGACATGCCTTTGCCAATCCAACCATCGATGCTAATGCTCAATTTTCCTTCGCACTCGCCTATCGTCTGCACGCCTTGCTTTATCCACGTGGGTAGGGCTCGGTATGGGTTATTTGGTTGCATCACCTTGATGAGTCGTGCGGCCGTGTCAAGAACCACGGAAGAATTCGAAACTTTTTTTTCTCTCCGACTTCCACCAGGGCAAAGTCCATTCCATACCAGCTCAACAGGGCGTCAACGTCAAGGTAGTATGACATTGGCCAAATGCCCCCATAGGCTAATCTTCCTGTGATTTTGCCTCTACCCCTGTGAGAAACAAGCCCTAGAATTAAGGTTCTAAATTTGATGCTTGCGTACTTGCAGTTCAGGCACCCGCAGAGTTATCGCAGAGGTCTCCTTAACGATCAAAGTAAAGTGGCACGAGAGGGGTTATCCAAGCATGGTCATGCAGTATCAGGTGACTCCATCAGGCCCGTAGGCCATTCACGTCAAAGTATCAATTTACGCTTCCGTAATCCTCCACTCGAAACGAAATCCCCGCTGTTCCAAATAGCATATCAACATGTTCACTCCTCCAACCGGTTCTCCTCAAGAATCTCTCTTTCCGCCTTTGTCCCTTGCCAATTCACCATTTTGACCAGAATGGGAATCAAGATCGCAATAATCATACCCGCACCCAAGAACCCAGCCGTCACGCCGAACCCAGTGTGATACGCCGGCGAGTCCTTGCTCGGCCAGATACGGCTCCCGTACACACTCGAAAAGTTGCCAAAAGCATTCACCATGGCCAACACGATGGCGCGCTTCTCAGCCGGCAAGCTAATAACACCACTCGTCCAGGACAGAACAAGCGGCAGCGCAGACCAGATACCAGCCGCCAGGAAGCAAACCATGACATACCGCACAATCGGCGTCTGCACCGCAGCACACACAACAGCACACGCGAAGCCCAAGCCAAGCGGCGCAGCAACGTGCCACCGCCGCTCCTGGTGCTTATCGGAGCTCCACGCGACAATGTTGAGGCACACAGATGCGACGGCGTAGATGGGCACCGTCATGTACTGCGCCTTGACGGTGTCGTAGCCCAAGGTAAGCGTAATGGTCGGAATAAAGTACGAAATCGTGCCCGCGCCGACGTCGAGCATGAAGAGGAGGATGAACATGTACGTCCGCGGGTCCGACACGGCAGCGACAAAGGCCTTCCAGTGTGACAGGCGCGCCTTGCTCTGCCCGCCCGACGCGATGCCGTCGGCGATGATGCGGATGCTCGCGAGCTGGCGCTGGGCGGGGGTGAGCTGCCTCGCGGTGGCGGGGTAGTCGAGCAGGACGAAGAAGGCGATGAGCGCGACGCCGACGGTGGCGACGCCCTCTACGATGAAGAGCCAGCGCCAGCCGGCGATGCCGTGCGCGTCATGGAGGTTGGCGGTGATGGCGCCGGCGAGGAGACCTCCGAACGCGCCTGAGAGGACGGCGGCGGTGTAGAAGATGGCGAAGCGCTTGCCGAGCTCGGCGCGAGTGTACCAGCACGAGAGCAGGAAGAGTACACCCGGGAAGAAGCCGGCCTCGATGCAGCCCAGGACGAAACGGAAGCCGAGGAGAGCGCCGTAGGTCTTTGAGATGGACATGAGCGCACTGAGGGCGCCCCATACGAGCATGATACCGGGAAGGAAGATCGACGGCCGGCTGCGGCTGAGGATCATGTTGGAGGGAACCTCGCAGATGAGGTAGCCAAAGAAGAAAATCGAGAGGACCCAGGCGTATCCATCGTCGGTAAGTGAGAGGTCCTTTTGCATTCCTGCGATCTTTGCGTTTCCCTGTGGTTGAGAGTATTGTCAGTGGGCCCGTGCTTTGGCGTAGCGTTGAAATTTTCATGCGATGCTTCGTTGCCCCTTATCCCCATGAGGGGAAGGGGGAGGCAGATGTGAGTGAGATAGACTTACGATGTTTGTGCGGTCGACGTAGTTGAGGATGTACATGATCCAAAGCATGGGCATCTAGAATCCGGGTAAGAATCATCTCACTGAGGATCTATGGGACGATTGGCATACCAAGTAAAGGTCGATCTTTCTGACGAGCTGCTTCTCCTCCCGTGTGCCGGGCACATAGTTTCTCAATGCTTCGGCGAGCTCAGCGTCCGCCTCGCTGACGACGGTCGCATTCTTGTCTTCCTTCATCTCGAGAGATTGCTTGCGACCGTTCTCGAAACTCATGATTGCGATCCCCTCGCTCGTGTGTTGTCGTGGTCTTCGTTGATGTCGTCGAGTGTTGTCCGTTTTTCTTTGTCTACCCTGACTCGGACCGGCTGAAAGTGGCGAATGCTCTTTCACACACCACAATGTTGGTCTGTGTGTAGTCCTCTAGAGCGGAGCAGAACGCGACGCGATCTTACTCGACTGGAAGAGCGACTGGGGGTTGATAAGAGGAATAAAGAAAGATCCGGGGATCTGGAGATGATGTGGCTGTGAAGGGATAAAACCTTCTTTCCATCCAAACACGGTAGCATTCACAGCGACGTCTGATATATAATGTTCACAAAACGCGACTCGTGTCTAGTGCGTCGTGTCTTTGCCCGGGGTCCTCCGCCTTGCTCGCTCTCCTCCCCCACGGGGTAGACACAAACTGGGGAACGAACTAAAGGAGAACTAAAGGGGGGGCCGCTTGGAAGTGTGGATTTCGAAGGAATCCGCTTGAAAGGGTGGGCAAGTCTGGAGTTCTGGACCTCTCACAGACGAATCGTTCATCGTTTTGCTCGAAATCAGACAATGAACTATTGCTCTTGGACCAGACGAGGCGTGATTGGGCTGCATGCGTCGAGGACCGGATCTGGATCCATACGAGTGGGAGGGGGCAACCAACAAGCGAGGACCAACGCGGTCTTGTGTCCGAGTCTAAGTGCCGGCCAGCGAGGGCGGTGTGCCCTCCGATTGGTACCGGGGTTCGCCCCGTCTGAGCTTCCCCGCCTTCAACCATGTGAAGCTCAAGACGAACATCACGAACGCTGCATGTGTGCATATCAAACGTGAAAAAGCAAGGCTCAAGGTGGGCAATTCATCAAAGGTGATCTCATTAAGTCGACGATGCTGTCGTCAGCCGGGCATCTGAGAGTTCAACAAGTCTAGCATGTTGAGCGGATATTGCTCCGGACCCATCCCAAAATTGTTCATCATCTCTCCGCTGAACATCCATTGGTTCCAGTCTTGGCCCATCTCCCCTTCATTCCAAACTTGAGGAATCTGCTGGCCTGGTTGTCCAGGCTGACCGGGCTGGCCTCCGGCGATATACTGCCTCTCCTGGGGACCACGTTCCTTGAACTTGTCCAGCATGTTGCTTAGACCGCGTCCAATGTAGTGAGCCACATGACGGGCGCAGCGGTTAGTTTCTTCCAATAATTGAACGACCCGCTCGATGAGAGACACCACATCATCGTAGCGTATGTCTAGCCTCGCAGGCTTCCACTGAGCGTGGACTTTCATTAAAAACATCGCGGCGTACGCGATGGTCGTCAGCAGATACAGAGGCACCCCAATGACTGCCCTCCGCATGTCAGTGTCTGTCAAGATCAGTTCCAATGCAGCAGACGCGCTTCCGATGGCGAGGTTGATGAAGTCGCGGCGTTCATCGGACATGGCGTATTGGTCAGTCGGATTTGATGGGTTCAGGCCCCTGAGGCAGATGGAGAACAGTAGGAGACGGGCGAAGTGATAGTGGAGGATGACGCCCTTGGCAGGGTACTTCGAGATGTGTTTGTCCGGCACTGATGAAAAACATTAGCTGACGATAAATTGGCGCCGGGGGGTGAAATCTCTTACCTAACCGAGTTTCCCATTGAAGCTTCCATCGACCCAGATCGGCATCGTATCGCTTGAGTGCCTCAAACTCATCTCTGGCAACTTGCCTTGATGTATCTGGTCCAAACGTATGGAAAACTCGACTCAGAATGATAAAGACACCAACCTGACTATGCAGACGATGGTCCGCCTGAGTGATGCCTGGCAACATTAGGAATGCCTCGTGGTGTGTGATGGTAGCGTCCTCGTTGATGACAGGAGGCCTGCCATAGGCAATGCTAAAGTGATGATCGCAGACATAGAGGAGGTACCAAAGCCGAGCCTTCTCAACATGTTGCGGTCCCTTGTTGAGTGCCTTTGCGCAAAATTGATGAAGGTTAAGCTCTGTCGCAATCCGCACTGCAAGACCAGATACCTTCCAGCTAATGTCTGATAGCCAAAATGCGCCGATGCAAAGTCCCCTCACATCATCGAGACTGTGGTAGCGATCGAACATGGTCTGGCTAGCCAGCTCCAGGAAGGTTGGGTAGCAAATATCGAAAGCTCGGCCTTCATCTTGTTCGTGCAAGGCAGTGACAGCAAGGATGGCGGCCGTGAGCAGTGGTGAAGACATGCGCGTGGCCGTGAGGTTGTCATGGACTAGTGCAATGCCTCCCCACAAGTACGCATTGAGGGTCCCACGGAACGTGGAGAAAAGCTGCTCGGCCTCCTGGACGCTAAACTTGCCCTGGGCAATGAAGTCTGGCTCTTGGGCCCGACTGGATGGAAGGTGGACCCGCGCCCCAGGGTCGCTCCGGATGTTCCGCAGTTTGGTCACTTCGAAGAGGCTGGCCATTGGCGCACTCACAAT